AAGGCAGTTCCTCTCTGAGGCATGTGGGAACTCAAGGGTACCCCAAAACTGATCTGGGAGGCAGAGTCAGGAGGAGAACAGGGTTAGCTGCAAATATTTATTAGGTTGGGAGCATCCACTGAGCAAACACATCAAGCATGGGGAGAAAACACTTTAGACATGAAGCTACTGAACCTGCATGGGCATAGGGTCACTCCAAATCCCCAGGGAGCCCTTTAGGGGAGTGTCCCCTACATGTGGCAATGCTGGAGGGTCAGGGGCTACCAGTGAGTGGGACTTCCCAGTGGTGGCAAACATCCCCTCTGCCCACCAGCACTGGGAACAGGCTGTAGGTTTTGGCCGCCCACAGTGCAGAAATCTCTGCTCCCACTCCATCCCTAGAGTGGGGAAGAGCCCAGAGACACCTCTTTGTGCCCCTGCCAGCACTGCCATTCCCACAGGGCTGGGACGAGTTCAGGGGCCACCAAAGGATGGACAGGGCAGAGCTTAGGATGATTAAGGCCAAGCGAGGCCAAGTCCAGTGGGAAGCATTACACCAAGCATGTCCTTCCCCAGCTGTCCTCATAACCCTGGGCTGGGCAGAGATGCAAACCACCAGGGACACGGTGCACAGGAACATTTCAGACATCACAAGGAGCTCATGCTGGAGACCAGGAGCTGGGGATGTCACTGGCTGCCACCACCAGGGCTCTCTCCTTCTGTCAGGGTCTTGAAGTCCATGGACAGGGCCAGCTCCTCTGCCAGCGGTGGGCGCTTCCACTCCTCCCGTGTCAGCACGTAGCCCACCACTAGCCCGAAGGCCACCAGCAGCACCCCCAGGGTGTTGGCCAGGATGCCCTCAGGCACAAAGTGGCTGTAGGAATCACTGAGGGGATGGAGAGGAATGCTCAGTCTTTAAGGGATCGTGGCCTGTCCCTGTCCTGGCTGGGACCCTCTCCTCATCCTCCTGGCACACACCATAGGAAAGGTTCCTTTCCCCAAATCAGAGCAAGAGTGGAGTGTTGGTGTTTTGCTCACTTTTGGGAGACACTTGGTGACAGCAGATTAAACTGGTGGCACAGTCCTCTACTGGGGCTATAGGCAGCCCAGTGCCCTCCCTGCTAGAGGGAAGTTGCTCCTGGGATGCCCCATAGCCCTGTCCCCACAGTGCTGGGGCTGGGGGTGACCCCAGTGTGCAGCTGGAGTCATCACTGTGTCCGCCAGCTGCAAGAGCAGAGGCCTCAGGAACATTAGTGTCCTGAGTGGTTCTGCAAACACCTGGACACAGGGGAGTGGCACTGGGCATTTTATCCACATTCCCAAAGAAAGCTGTTGCAGGTTCTAGCCCCTTGTTAAACATCATCTGGTAAGTGATTCAGCAGCAGCAGAAATTAAGGCCTCAAGGAGAGATTTAAGAGCCGCAGACTGAGCAGGGACAGGGGCATCCCTCGGCTGGAGGTCTGGGGTGCCACCCCGTCACCCCAGCTCAGACACCCACCTGAGTTTGAAGAGGAGCATCTCAGTAATGCCCAGCAAGCAGGAGGTGATGGAGAGAATAAAGAGGGTGATGCCAAAGAAGATGTGCTGGGGCTTGTACCACCCTCTCAGCAAGAAGGAGGCACCAGGGAACAGAAAGAAGCTGCAGCCCAGGAACCACTGTGGGGACACAGGGATGTCACAGGTGCTGCAGAGTCCCTTCCCTCCCAGAGGGCCAGGGGCTCCCCACCCCTTACCTGCAGGAGGTAGAGCACAAAGGTGGCCATCCCACACCAGGAGTGTAGGCTGTACATGTCAGGGATGCCCTTAGTCTGGTGTGACTCGAAGACAGCGATGATGCCTGCAGAGAAGAGTCCATCACCACCAGAGCTACATCCTGCCCAATCCACCCATCCCATCCCATCCCATCCCATCCCATC